CACCTCAATGGCTCAGAAATCATCCATCATATAACATTGCCTTACTCAAATCCAAGTCTTAGATCACAAACTCAATGCAAACAAGTCCTTTAAAAGTTCGGACAGCATTTCCCCTGAATTTGCTTACTTTTCCAGCCATCATGGCTTCATTATTTCCTCAGCCAGTCCCAAAGGTACACACACAACAACAAGTTCATCCAATAGCCGTTCAGCAAGCTCCAAGTAGTACTAGTACAAGTCAAACTAGGGAAAAGTTCGGAAATGAAAGTTAAGTTCAAAACCAGAAAAACAGTTTTGACGTCATTTTGCGGTAATGGTACCAAAGGCGCTACGATTGTCGGATGAAGGTGCAAGACCCACCGTTTCGAAGCTAAGAGACAGGGATACAACATCACAGAAGGTCACTCAACCCAGTTTTGAGTACAAACAGGTCAAAAATGCAAGATACTACATCAACAACGTAAAACAGATTCACCAAAATGCATTCTAGCGGAAACATCATAACTCAGGTTCTACAAGTCCAAATCTAGAAATTCCAAAACCAGCTGAAAGATAAGAAACAGGTTTAAATTTCATCAGAAGGGCTCAACAACCAATTCGGAAGCAATTCCAGCCAAAATAACCAATTACAGTCGCAAATCCCAATTTCGGGTAAACCAGAATAGCAATAGTAATTTCGACTTTTCTCACTCTACGCTACTCCGATTGACCTGAAATTTTGTAGGAACCTTTAAAATGTCATTTCCTACAACTTTAATGTTTTAAGAAAAGGCCAATTCGGCCTCTATCTAGGATCTAAAATTTCGGACAGAATGAAGAACCAAGAACCCTAATTTTCCAGATTTCTTCCAAAACAGAATTTACTTGCAATCTTCCACTTTTTCCACCTTCTAGAATCATTAAACATCATTTCCAATCATCATACATAACCACATAATCATACTCATATTAAAACAGAAAAATCCCCAAAAATAATAAAAGTTCATCCATCCAACCACAACTCAAAATATAATCCATCAAACCATCTCTTTAGCCATCACAAGTCTCTAATTTAGCATAATCAAGAACAAAGAAAGGATGGCTAGACATGATACCTTCAAATATCAAGAAAGGTGATGACTTAGGGATTTTTCTTCCAAAACAACTCCACCAAGAGCTTCAATCTTCCTTAGCTAGCAAGTTTTATGGAGTGATTTGCAATTTAATCGGTTGGAACTCAAGATTTGGACAAGAAATTGAAGTGCAAGATGATGGATTTTCTCTCTCTTTTTCTCTCAAAATTTCGTCCAAGACAAGCCAAAATGGAGAGAAATTGGGTCCAAATTGGTTTTAGTAAAGTTAGAAAAGTCTTGGTCAAAAGTCAAGGTCCAATGGTTTTGTGACAAATGGTCCTTTAGGGTTTTAATCTTATCTTTTTGTCTCTCCAATAAAAATATCTTAACACATTGTAAAATAATATCACTTAATACAAAATTCCAACAAGTTGTCAAAAATATAATGCATTTACCGCACTTGCGGGTCCCACGTCCAAAATACGCTTTTAATTTCTCAAAAACTAACGGATACTAGAAAAATCATTTTAAAACTATCTTTGCTCATAACTTTATCTGGGGAATTTTTCTAATCAAGAAAATGTAGAAAAGGCGGGCGATTAAATAAAATAACCCTAGAAAATTAGAAAATTTCCGGGTTCTCACACTCATTCTTTTCTGGGCGTCACAAAGTCAACCATCCAATCGGGTCGCGACACATGGCATCTTAATGGTTCAAGCTTATCCTTTTGTCTCTCCAAGATTAAACCATCTAAGTAATCTCTAATTATCTCTTAACCCCTAGTAAATTAATTCCAGTATACAAAACGTAACCTAATTGGTCGAATTTATCGCACTTAACGCCACTAGCGGGTCCCACGTCCAATATACACTTCTAATATCTCATGAACTAACTTATACTAGAAAAATAATTAAAAAACTATATTTTCTTATAAAAATATCGCTAAAGTTAACATAATAACAAAAATATAGAAAACGGGTGCAAAGAAAGAAAATAAGGCCTAGCAATTCAGAAAATTTTTGGGTTCTCACAGTAAGGCAATTGGGGAATTAAATCTTACGGGCGTACCTAAGATTATTTCTCAATTAGAGTAGTGATTAACGGGCGCACCTTAATCACCGGCACAGTAAGGAGGGGTTGACTGTCATCGCTTGTTTGGCAGTTATAACCTATTTATTGGTAAATAATTGGAATTGGCTTTGCATCGATGATCAATTAGGTGAACCATTGCTGAAGTTATTTCTTGGCTAGATCCTTAATTATCACTCATTTGATTTTAGTAAATTGTTATTTAATTTCTAGTTGGCTATTTTATTTTTATTGTTTTACTTTTAGTTGAATTGCTTAAATTGTCACCCCTGATGCAAAAACACCCTCTTTGTTACTGTGAATTTGAAAAGAAACAATTACACCCAGTCCCTGTGGATTCGACCCTGCTTACCACTATCTACAGAAATTAACTTTAGTTGAGCAGGTTTTTATTATTGCACAGGCTGACAACCTGTCAATTTTTGGCGCCGTTGCCGGGGACTGGTGTTATTATTTGTTTCTTCTTGAGTCCATTTTTGCTCTAATTTTCTGGTATTCTTCTAGTGCATGCCTCGTTCTTCTCGTACAGGTGAATTAATTTTTGACCCTGAGGTAGAGAAGACTGCGCGTAGGACAAGAAAGGAAACTAGACAGCTCAGAGAAGAGCAGTCTAGTGTTGCATCTCAAGGACTTGATCCAGAGGTTGAGTCAACGGATTTGCGTGGTGGTAACTCAAGTGACTCAGACCAGGAGGAAGTCACCATGGCGAATGCACAAACACTATGGGAGTTGGCTGCTCCCAATTTAAATCAGCAACCTCTATGCATTACTTTCCCAAGTTTAAATGATAACACTCCCTTTGAATTAAAATCAGGTCTAATTCATCTTTTGCCATCATTCCATGGTTTACCAGGTGAGGAGCCGTATAAACACCTGCAGGAGTTTGATGTAGTTTGCAACAGCATGAAGCCCCCAGGTATTACAGAAGAGCAGATAAAAATGAGGGCATTCCCCTTCTCCTTGAAGGACTCTGCAAAAGACTGGTTGTACTACCTACCACCAGATAGTATCACCACGTGGGACCAGCTGAAGAAAAAATTCTTGGACAAATATTTTCCGGCGTCTCGAGCTGGAAGTCTAAGGAAGGAGATCTGCGGTATGAAGCAACACCCAGGCGAGTCCCTCTATGAGTATTGGGAGAGATTCAAGAAGCTATGCATCAAGTGCCCCCAGCATCAGATAAGTGAGCAGTTGCTCATTCAATACTTCTATGAGGGCCTACTTTTCAGGGACCGAAGTATAATCGATGCTGCAAGTGGAGGGGAGTTAGTGAACAAGACTCCTCGGGCAGCATGGGAGCTAATTGAAGGAATGGCGGAGAATTCGCAACAGTTTGGTACGAGGGAGGATGTCCCAACGCGTAGGGTGAATGAGGTAGACACATCCTCCATCCAGCAGCAAATTTCTGAATTGACATTCTTCGTGCGACAATTAGCTGTAGGAAGTGCCTCACAAGTCAAGGTGTGTGGGGTATGTGCTGCCGTGGGTCATTCTATAGAGGTGTGCCCACTGGTTCAGGAAGAAACTGCAGAGCAGGTGAGCATGGCTAGTCACGCGCCCGCGCCAAGAAAGGCCTATGACCCGTACTTGAACACATACAATCCGGGCTGGAGAGATCACCCTAATTTCAGCTATGGGAAAAATAGGCAGCCCAATTTTGCACCGAATAAGCAGCAGGGGCATCACCAGCAGCCTCACCAGTAGTATCAGCCTCGCCCGCCACCATCCTCTTCAAACTCAAGTCCGTCTTTGGAAGAAATGATGAAGCAATTGATTACTAATCAATAAAAGACGGACTCTGACATGCAGAGCATGAGGAATCAAATGGGACAAATGGCGATAGCAATTAACCGCCTAGAATCCCAAGCCCAAGGTAAATTACCATCCCAACCTGAAGTGAACCCGAAGAACGTAAGTGCGATGACTTTAAGAAGCGGGAAAGAAATTCAGGGACCAGAACTCATGATTCCAAAAGACAATGATGAAGAAAAGATTGAGAACGAGCCCGAGAAGGAGACAGCAATGGCACAAATCCACAGGTACTTCCAGATCCAGTCATTACAGTTAAAACTAACCCGCCTCCCTTTCCTAACAGGTTGGAAAAATCGAAAAAGCAGGATAAGGAGAAGGAGACCCTGGAGGTGTTCCGCAAAGTCGAGATTAATATTCCCCTGTTAGATGCAATTAAACAGGTGCCGAAATACACAAAGTTTTTGAGAGACCTGTGCGTCAATCGAAGGTGGCTGAGAGGAGATGAAAGAGTCATTGTTGGGGAAAATGTGTCCGCAGTCCTGCAGAGAAAGCTCCGACCAAAGTGTGGGGACCCAGGTATGTTCACTATCCCCTGTAGGATAGGCAACACCTTGATTAGAAAGGCCATGTTGGACCTAGGGGCATCTATTAATGTAATGCCAAAATCTATCTATGCTTCTCTGAACTTTGGTCCATTAAAAGAAACTGGAATAATCATTCAATTAGCTGACCGAACTAATGCATATCCTGAAGGGTTAGTTGAAGATGTGTTGGCAAAGATTAATGATTTGGTGTTTCCAGCTGACTTTTATGTACTTGATATGGATGATGATCACTCCCCCAATCTCTCACCTTTGTTATTAGGTAGACCCTTTTTTAGCACAGCACAAACGAAAATTGATGTAAATAAGGGTACCTTGTCCATGGAGTTTGATGGGAAAATTGTGCATTTTAATATTTTTGATACTATGAAATACCCCTCAAACTCCAACTTTAGCTCTGTTTTCTCTGTGAGTACTATTGACCCTGCGTTGCAGGAAGTGTTTGAAACTGTTGGCAGGGATGAGTTGGAGGTGGCTTAGACCAAGCACCACGAGTTGGGGACAATGCCTGAGGTGGAGTGGAGCGAAGATCTAAAAGGCACAATAGGCACATTACACTCATTGCCGACTACCAAAAAAAGGTATGAAGTCTCACCTATTTTTATTCCCAAACCTCACCAGAGTGTATTGCCATCTGTGGTGCAGGCACCTGTATTAGAGTTGAAGCCCCTACCAGAGCACTTGAAGTATGTGTATCTGGGCGACAACGAGACACTCCCGGTGATTATCTCATCGGCACTATCAGAAACTCAGAAGGAAAAGCTGATTCGGGTCCTTAGAGAGCATAAAGAGGCGATAGGGTGGACCATTGCCGACATTAAGGGAATCAGTCCCTCCATCTGTATGCATCGAATAAGGCTCAACCTGTGTGCCAAGCTCAAAAGAGGCTCAACCCTCTCATGAAGGATGTGGTGAAAAAAGAAATATTGAAGCTACTCGATGTGGGGATTATATTTGCTATATCTGATAGCCCATGGGTAAGGCCGGTCCAGGTAGTTTCAAAAAAGGCAGGAGTGACGGCAGAGGCCAACCAAACGGGTGAGCTAGTGCCAGTGCGTAAACCCACTGGTTGGAGACAGTGTATAGACTACCGCAGGCTGAACGCCGTTACCAAAAAGGACCATTTTCCCCTCCCTTTCGTTGATCAAATGGTTGAACGCTTGGCTTGAAGGGCTTATTACTGTTTTCTGGATGGATTTTCAGGGTATTTCCAGATAGCGATTGCACCAGAGGATCAGGAGAAGACAACTTTCACGTGCCCATTCGGGACCTTTGCTTATAGACGGATGCTTTTCGGTTTGTGCAATGCACCTACCACTTTCCAGAGATATATGGTAAGCATCTTTTCTGAATATGTTGAGAAAATAATTGAAGTTTTCATGGATGATTTCAGTGTGTATGGTGATAGTTTTGATACATGTCTAGATAACCTGAAATTGATCATGATAAGGTGTATAGAGACTAATCTTGTGCTTAACTGGGAAAAATGTCATTTTATGGTTGACCACGGGATAGTCTTAGGTCATGTTGTGTCGTCTAAGGGTATTGAAGTTGGCAGGGCGAAAATAGATATTATATCTGCTTTGCCTTACCCCGCGAGTGTGCGGGAAGTGCGCTCTTTTCTTGGACATGCAGGATTTTACAGAAGGTTTATCAAGGACTTCTCGAAGGTTGGAGCCCCGTTGTTCCAGCTTTTACAAAAAGATGTGGTCTTCAACTTTTATGACGAGTGTGAGAGAGCCTTCGACAAGTTGAAGGAGTTATTGACCTCAGCCCCAATCATCCAACCCCCTGACTGGAGTTTACCATTTGAGAGCACGTGCGATGCCAGTGATCATGCTGTAGGGGCTGTGTTGGGGCAAAGAGTGGGAAAGGCAGCTCATGTCATCTACTATGCGTCCCGAACCTTGAATGGAGGTCAATTGAATTATTCCACCACTGAGAAGGAGCTTCTTGCGATTATTTTTGCTATAGAAAAATTTATGTCATATTTGTTAGGTGCTAAAGTTATTGTGTTTTCTGATCATGCAGCGTTAAGGTACCTAATGACCAAGAAAGATGCAAAGCCGAGGCTCATAAGGTGGATATTGCTCCTACAGGAATTTGACCTAGAGATAAGGAATAAGAGAGGCTCGGAGAACTTGGTAGCCGACCACTTGAGCCGCATACCAGTGGGGGAGAAGAAAGAGCCATTGAGGGATACTTTCCCTGAGGAGCACCTGTTTTCTTTAAATTCTCAATTGCCTTGGTATGCCGATTTAGTCAATTATTTAGTAACGGAAAATTTTCCTGCAGGTTGCCCAAAATCGAAGAGGGATAAATTGAAGAGCGATGCCAAGTACTACATCTGGGATGACCCGTACCTGTGGAAGAGGTGTGCTGATCAAATGATGAGGAGATGTTTAAGTGAAGTTGAATTTCAGTCGATTTTAACCTATTGTCATACCTTTGCTTGTGGAGGTCATTTTGGACCCAAAAGAACTGCTCACAAGGTATTAGAAAGTGGATTTTATTGGCCTTCATTGTTTAAGGATGCATATGTGTTTTGTAAGTCGTGTGATCGCTGTCAAAGGGTAGGTAATATAGCCCGTAGAGATCATATACCCCAAGTCCCATTAATTTTTGTTGAAATTTTTGATGTGTGGGGTATAGATTTCATGGGGCCTTTTCTTACCTCATTTGGTTTTGTATATATTTTGTTGGCAGTCGATTACGTGTCTAAATGGGTGGAGGCTAAGGCCAACCGGACTAATGATTCAAAAGTGGTTGCGGATTTTGTCAGATCTAATATTTTTGTGCGTTTTGGGATGCTAAGGGCCATTGTTAGTGACAGGGGGACGCATTTCTGCAATAAGACTGTAACAGCCCCACTTTCCCCTAAGGCGAACCAAAGGGATTAGCGGACTGCCTGCCCAGCTCTCGCCAGGACTAACGGATCAGTTTACGTCGATCTATTACGTTCCGGAACATACCACCGTGGGCAAATATGTCAAAATCACAAAATAAATAAAAACGAAATTCGAAGCCGAAGATGAATAGTGCTGGACACGTCAGAATCCAGATACTAGGCCGAGAGTAGCCAAAATTTTTCTTTCGCCGTTTGAAATACGAGTTGATCCAAAATTCAACCAAATATCAACCAAACATACACACATTGAAATGTAACATTTTCAATCCAAAACGGCATATCAAAAATCATTCACTACGAATATACATGTTCGGTTTGCCAATCAAAAGAAAGTGAACCCAATACACATTAGGGTTTCATTCGAAGAGCTATCCAAAAGATGCATTTACTTGAGCTCAACTTGACAACCAACAAGTATAACCTTTCCAAAAGTGGTCATTTTCCTGTAAGGAAAACAAATGGAACGGAATGAGCTTAAGCCCAGTGAGTTACTACCACATAAGCACAAGGATCATATAAGCATAATCTTTCATTTCGAGTACACAATTAAGAATTAAAACAAGTCGGTAAAAGGATACGGATGGCTCTCAAGAGCCCATTTCCAGGCTTACATTCTTGATCCAATCTCATTGACCCTCCGTCAATGTTTAAGAATACCCGACCGTAGACCTCACTTCACTCCATTCCTTCCACCAAACATACCCCAACCGGGCCCGCACTCCAATCAGTCATTTTGGTAATACTCGAGTATACCGGAACCATGAGTCTCATTACTACAAGATTCCCCAGTACAGTCCCCGTGGCACGTCAATATTCACGACCAAGCCCTCGCCGGCTCGATCCAATTGAATACCTACGGGGTTGAGCTCAGTAATACAGTAAGGCCGTTGGACATTCGTCCAAACGACACCAAATCAGTATTCCATGAATGGAATTCAATATCTCATATAGCAAGTGCAGTAATTCAGTAAAACGGTAAACAGTCCTAAATGGAATCACAAGGGGGTGAGGGCGGTCAAGTACACCCTCACCTCAATCATTTTCATTAGCCATATTAGCCGTCAAGGCATCAAATTCCCATATACCAAAGCCACATTGTAACATTTAAGTGAGTAGTATACTCACCAATCAATTCAGTGCTATTTCATGCACTTCCGTCAGGAGAATGTCGTGAACAACCGTCACGCCCTAGAACACGTAAACAAATGCAATGAGACTCGATAACGAGTCACAAAGCCAAGCCAATTATGACCCAATATGTGACGCCCCGAAAAAAAATGAGTTTGAGAACCCGGAAATTTTCTAATTTTCTAGGGTATATTTTTTTTAATTGCCCGCCTTATCTACATTTTCTTAATTAGAAAAATTCCCCAGATCAAGTTTATGAGCAAATATAGTTTTCAAATGATTTTTCTAGTATCGGTTAGTTTTTGAGAAATTAAAAGCGTATTTTGGACGTGGGACCCGCTAGTGCGGTAAATGCATTATATTTTTAACCACTTGTTGGAATTTTGTATTTTCAAGATATTAAGTGATATTATTTTACAAAGTGTTAAGATATTTTTATTGGAGAGACAAAAGGATAGAGTTGCATTAATGGAGTGACATGTGTCACACAACCATTGGTTGGACTTTGTTGGCAACTATTCACACTTTTGACTTTTGACCAAATTGAGTAAATATCTTGAAAAATTGCTCAAAAATCACCATTTTCTTCTCCTTCATGGCCGATTCTTCCTTGAGCAAAGAAGAAAGAAATTCTTCAACTTTCTAGTTTCCATTTCACTCAATCTTCCAAAACCAACCACATAACTTAGATTCTACTCCATAAAATTTCTCCCTTGGGTGCTAGTAAGTAGTTTAGTGAAGTTTGTTTGAAGACTTAAGGTGTCCAACATCTTCCTCTCTCTTGATTACTTGGTAAGTGGTATATGAACACCCTCCTATATTTAATGATGTTGAATTTATGCCTAATGGTGGCTTAAGTGAGGGATTATGTGTTTTATTTCTTGATTTGAAGTGAATTGGTTGAGTTTTTTATTTTTTGAGGAATTTTCTGGTTTCATATGTTCTTGATGGTGTGGTTGTTTTTGATGGTTGTTAATAAGGGGCTATGGCTTTAGTAGGTGCATATGATAGGAAATTGCAACCAATTTTGGGTTTGGATTGAATTGAGAAATGTTAGGGTTTCAAAACCCCTAATTCTGTCCGATTTTGGATCATAGGGTTAGAGGCCGAATTGGACTTTTCTCAAAACATGAAAGTTGTAGGTATTGATGAGTTTGAAGTGCCTGCAAAATTTCAGGTCATTTGGATTAGTGTAGAGTGAGATATGTCATTTTTACTGTTGCTGTTCTGGGTGATCAGAATGTGCGAACTGTGATTGTAATCATCTGTTTTGACTGGAATTGCTTTGGATTTTGTTGTTGAGGTCTTCTGATGAAATGTATCTTGATGTACTAGCTACCATTTTCCTTTGGAATCAATGCATTTGGACCTGTGTAGACTGAGTTGGACGAATTACAGCATTGTGTGATTTGGGAACCTTCAATTACGGTTCTGGGTTGGTTTTCTGCATTTTTGACCCAGTGGTGCTAGGATTTGGACTGAGTGGCCTTCTACATTGTTGTAGCCCTGGTTCTTAGCTTCGAAACGGTGGGTCTTGGACCTCCATCCGATACTCGTAATACCTTTGGTGCCATTACCGCAAAAGGACGTCAAAACTGTTTTCTGGTTTTGAGCAATTGTGGTTAATTGCTTTGTGCTTGGGTTTGATTGTAGGATGGAAAGGATGAATTTATGGGGAAATGCTGTCCGATTTTTAATAGCGTTGGTTACCTTAAGTTTCATGTGAAAGGCTTGGACTTGAATGATGGAAGCCGTGGAGGTGAGTGACCTTAAACTACTTGCAACGTTACTTTAAAATGTTTCTTGCATCGTTTCTTTGATTGCATATCCTGTGTGCCGGCATATAAGTTCTTGACATGTTTTGGCTCAAATGAGTACTTGGAATTCGTGTGCTAGACTCCGACGTTTCCTCCACCGTTTAATGTTCCTGTAGAGCACCAATGGGCTCAATGTTCAATGTTCAATGTTAATGTTCCATGTTAAATGATTGTTTGGAGCGTTGGACGTCTAAGTACCATGATTTCACTGGCTCATGAGAGAAGTGAAAGTGCATTGATTGTTGAAGCATGACATTATTGAAATGAACGATTGTGAAACTGATTTGATAACTGAATTTCTTGGTTACTCGCTGAGCTTCTAGCTCACCCCAAAATGTTTTATTCCCCTCCACAGGGCTCAAGGCGAAGGAGTGGCTTGTAGTGTTTAATCCTGGATTATTTCATGTATGGATTGAATTTGGTTTTCCTTTTGTGTAATCCTTCATATTGGGATTGTATTGAACGTTTAGAATTGATTGGATGTGTAATAGTCAAGTTTTGGACTTTCTCCTGTATAATCATTGTGACCAAGGATCAGAGTGGCGCAGTGGAAGCGTGGACGCTTCGCTTTTGATATGTAAAGTTTTGGGATATTTGATTTTATTTGAGATCGTATCGTATCTTGTATTTAATTGAGGTTTGTAGTGAACGACTGAGTCCCGGCGAGAGCCGGGCAGGCGGCCCGCCGAACCCTCTGGTTCGCCTTAGGGGGAGGTGGGGTCGTGACACAATAGGGTTTCATATGCATAAACAAGCATAATAGCAAACCAGAAATTTCAGCAAATGGAACTCATTTGATCCAACAACAAAAACAGTTTTTGCCTCCTAATGCGGCAATGGCACAAAATGTGCTACACTTATCGGATGAGGACGTAAGACCCACCATCTCGAAGCTAAAAGACAGGGCTACAACAATGTAGAAGGCCACTCAGTCCAAATCCTAGCACAACTAGGTCAAAAATGCAGAAAACCAAGCCAGAACCGTAATTGCAGGTTCCCAAATCACACAAAACTGTAATTCATCTATCTCAGTCTATACAGGTCCAAATGCATTGATTCCAAAGGCATATTTTAGCTAAGACATCAAGATACATTTCATCAGAAGACACCAACAACAAAATCCAAACCAATTCCAGTCAAAACAGACGATTACAATCGCAGTTCGCACATTCGGATCACCCAGAACAGCAACAGTAAAAACGACATAACTCACTCTACACTACTCCAAATTCCCTGAAATGTTTCAGGCACTTCAAACTCATCAATAACTACAACTTTCATGTTTTGAGCAAAGTCCAATTCGGCCTCTAACCCTATGATCTAAAATCGGACAGAATTAGGGGTTTTGAAACCCTAACATTTCTCAATTCAATCCAAATCCAAAATTGATTGCATTTATCAACAATTCACACCTACTAGAGTCAAAGCCCCTTATTACCAACCATCAAAAACAACCACACCATCAAGAACATATGAAACCAGAAAATTCCTCAAAAATAAAAAACTCAACCAATTCACTTCAAATCAAGAAATAAAACACATAATCCCTCACTTAAGCCACCATTAGGCATAAATTCAACATCATTAAATATAGGAGGGTGTTCATATACCACTTACCAAGTAATCAAGAGAGAGGAAGATGTTGGACAACTTAAATCTTCAAACAAACTTCACTAAACTACTTACTAGCACCCAAGGGAGGAATTTTATGGAGTGAAATCTAGTTTCGGTATTTGTTTTTGGAAGATTGAACCAAATGGAAGCTTGAAATTTGATGAAGTTTCTTCCTTCTTTGAGCTTGATAGGGCCGGCCAACAAGAGGTGAAAAATGGTGAATTTTAGTGATTTTTTGAAGATATTAACCACTTAGTCAAAATAGTCAAAAAAAGAATAGTAACTCTTAAGTCCTAACCAATAATACCATGACACTTGGCACCTCATTAATGCATTCCTATCCTTTCTTTTCTCTCTCACATCAATCATTTCACACACTCTACTTATCTCTTAACACCCGATAAATTTTACACAGTATCCGGAATTTAACCTAATTGGCCGAATTTTTCCGAACTTTTTGCACTAGCGGGTCCCACGTCCAATATATATTCTTAATTTTTCAAAAACTACCCAATGCTAGAAAAATCATCTGAAAACTATAATTACTCATAAAAATTCATCAGGAAAATTTCCTAAGCCAGAAAACGCAGAAAACATGCCATTAAAGGAAATAAAACCCTCGGAAAAGATTAGGGTTTTTATGGGTTCTCACAAAGACCATAGCTGCGTTGTTTCAAATGTATGGTGTACTCCACAGGGTCTCGACGTCATACCACCAGCAGACTAATGGTCAAGCGGAGGTATCGAATCGGGAGATTAAGTCCATTTTGGAGAAAATGGTGCGCCCCAATAGGAAAGATTGGAGTCAACGGTTAGAAGATGCACTCTGGGCCTATCGGAAGGCATACAAGACTCCTATTGGCGTGTCACCTTACAGGTTGGTATTTGGGAAGCCGTGTCACCTTCCAGTGGAGTTCGAGCACAAGGCTTTTTGGGCAATAAAACAGTGTAACATGAATTTAGAAGATGCCGGTGCTCAACGGAAGTTGGATCTGCAAGAATTAGAGGAGATTCGGAATGAAGCGTATGAGAATGCATTAATTTACAAGGAAAGAAGCCGGGCTTTTCATGATCAACAAATTTCTAGGAAAACCTTTGAACTTGGTCAAAAGGTTCTCCTATACCAGTCCAGGCTCAAATTATTTCCAGGTAAACTACGCTCCCGTTGGATTGGCCCTTTCGTTGTGACTCACGTTTTTCCTTATGGTGCAGTAAAAATTCAGAGTACTAAGACAGATAAGCATTTTGTGGTGAATGGACATCGCCTCAAACACTATTATGAGGGCTTTGTAGATGGAGAGGTGGAGGTGATACGTTTGGATGAGCCACAGTGTTCCAAATAGCACTCCTTAGCCATGTCTAGCCAAAGATATTAAAGAAAGGCGCTCATTGGGAGGCAACCAAATTTCTTTTGATTTTTTGTTCGATTTTGTTTTGATAGTTTAAATATGTTTTTCCCTGAGTTTGACTGATTTCTGGCTTCAATGTTCGTTTTTGATGATGCGTAGGTATTTTTCACGGTCAGAAGGGTACTTGCTCTTTTGACGCGCCCGCGTCACGTTCGTGGGAAAAGTAAGTATTCAAAAAAACTCAAGAGCGGTTATCGATTTTTTTTTATTAACCTCTAATTTTGAATGTAGAAAATAAATTTTATTCATATATAAAAAAAATTTGTTTTTATTTAAAAAAAATTTAATAAATACAAATATAAAAATAATAATAAAAAAATGTTTTTTTTCTTTTTCCGTTTTGAGCAGCGGCTTGGGCTTTCAATTACAGATGTTAATTTACAAAGAAAAAAAAAATTCTTTCTTTTCTTTCTTTTTCTTTCTTCTCCGCTGTTTCTTCCTCTCGTTCGATTGAACCCAGCTTGCGCCGCCGCCCCACATTGCCGTACGCCACTCTCCCTACCACCACGCCCCAATCACTCTTTCTCCCTCTCAATCTCATCTTCCACTGCGCCAAGCTCTCCCACAACTCCATCCAGCAGCAGCACTCCATCGCCGCACTCAAGATCGTGCCACCAGTACAGCAGCGCGCACCGCCACTGCTGTCCGCCGACTCCTCCCTCTCTCAGGCCGCGCGCCGTCCGCCACTCGCGCAGTCCGCCGCAAATAGGAACCACACGCCGCCGCCTACTCTTTTTCTGCTGACGCCACTCACACGCCAGCCGTAGCAGCCCAGCTCCTCGTAGCTGAGCCACCGCCATCTCCACCCCTCTCCACCCCCGCTCGCGTGCGTCTCCCAGTTCCAGCTCGTCCGCCATCAGCTTCGCTCCACATCCCCACTGCGGCGCGGCTCGCCTCTCACCTCACGCGCAACCTAGCTGCGCCTGCCCCCCATTTGAGTCGCCGTCGCTGCTGAAGTTCCCAGGATCGCCGCCCACTGCTCTGCGCGCCGTCCCTCGCGGTAGTTCCCTTCTCGCGTCTCTCTCTCCTCGCGGACGCCGCACACCGCGGCTATTTCTTCCACCGTGACCCAGCTTCACCAGCACTCCACTTCCAGCTCCAGCTCGATCTCCACAACCGCGCACCTCCACCAGCGCCGACTGCCCGCCGCACCTACTCGCGGCCACCTTCCTCGCCCCTCTCCCTCGCTCGCCTCCCTCTAATTGGAGAATTGAATGAAATCACAGTAATTGGTTCCGCTGTTGCGCCCCTTTTTCTTCGCCATTCCAACTCCAGTTCTTCATTGAGTGACAATTGTAGGTATTTGACACTCGATCCCCGACTCTTGGTATTGATTGCTATCACTTGGGTTGGTTGAAAGTGTGCGATTAACTGTCAAGTTGGGTATGTTGAACCTTGTTTGCTTTTGACTGTTCAATTTGGAAGCCGTTGTTCAATTAGTGTGGGTATCTTGACTACAATTGATCTTTTCTCTCTTATTGGCTGATTGATTGATTGGAAGCTGAAAGCTTCGAATTCCTTTGTCAATCGTCAGAATCTGAATTGTTATTGATTGAATTGCTGGCTTTTTGGACCCTTCGCTACGATTTTTGGTTGATTGAGTTGTGCATTCAATTTTTCACCAGTGGTACTGGTTGGAGTATTTTTTGTTGAAGTTGTTAACCCCGTTCAATTGGATACCTGGTTGTCTGCTGAGGGTCTGTGACTGGGTTGTCATTTTTCAATATCTGCATTGCTATTATTGGTATTGCCTTATTATTGGGGTATTTGTTACGATTTGACTGTTGGAGGCGTTTGTTGAAAGTTTAAAGTGTATTTGTTGAGATTTTAGAGGGACACAGCTGACAGGCTGGCGACTTGACTTGGGTTGCCCCTGTGTGTTCGATTGCTTTTGCTGATTCCGTATTTGCTGGTTTTTCTTGTCTCTGGTTGCCTGGAGTGATATTCGGACATCATGGTGAGACCAAAATCATCCTCTAGGTCTAGAGTGTGAGAACCCGTAATTTTTTTCCATTTTCTAGGTTTTATTCGGGTTATTGGCATGTTTTCTGCATTTTCTTTATTCAGAAAGTTTCTAGATAATTTTTATGAGTAAATATAGTTTTTAGGTGAGTTTTCTAGTATTGGTTAGTTTTTAAGAAATTAAGAGCGCATACCGGACGTGGGACCCACTAGGGCGAAAAGTTCAGAAAAATTCGGCCAACTAGGTTAAGTTTTGGACACTAGGTTTAAATTATCGGGTGCTAAGAGATAATTAGAGGTTACCCAAGTGGATTGGTGTGAGAGGGAACAAAGTGATAGCTATGCATTTAATGAAGTGACAAGTGTCACTTAGAGATTGGTTGTACTTTATGACTACTATTCACCTTTTACCATTTGACCAAATAAATCAAAAAAATTACCAAAAATTTACCATTTTCTTCTTCTTCTTGGCCGGCCACCTCAAGCAAAAAGAAAGGGAAAAGCTCTTGAAATACTTGCTTCTATCTTGCTCAAATTCAACAAATCAACCATTTGATCTTGCATTTGTTCCATAAAACCCCTTCACTTAGTGATTGTGAGGTGTTTAGTGGAGTTGTTTGGAAGGCTAAGGTGATTAGTTGCTCCCTCTCTTGTGTTGCTAAGGTGAGTAGTGAAGGAACCCCTCTCCTCCATCTAATGATGTTTAATTCATGATTTGTGGTAGTTTAAGATGTAATTTTATGGATTATATCTTGATTTTGGTTGAATTGGTGAAGTTTTATAATTATTGGTGATTTTTCTGTTTTCATATGATTATTATTATGTGATCATGTATGATGATTGGAAATGATACTTAAGGAAGCTAGAAGGTGGAAAAAGTGGGTAATTGCAGGAAATTTCTGTTTTGGAAGAAAGTTGGAAAGTTAGGGTTTCATATTCTTACATTCTGCCCGGCACAGTACCTCATAGTTAGAGGCCGAATTGGCCTTGGGTTAAAACATGAAAGTTGTAGGGAATGATATTTTAGAGATTCCTACAAAATTTCAGATCAATCGCAGCAACGTAGCCTATGAAAAGACTGAATTACCCCTGCTGCCCTGGTTTCACCCGAATTTGATAATTGCGTCTATAATTGGTTATTTTGGTTGGGAATACTTCAGAATTGATTGTTGAGGTCCTCTGATGAATTTTAGCCGTGTATCTTAGCTTTCGGATGGCTTTGGAATTACTTGATTTGGACTTAGGTAGCCTGACTTATGATTTTTGAACCAGAATGCAGTTTGTGAACCTATTTTTACGGTTCTGGTGTAGTATATTGCTTTTTTGACCTGGTTACACTCGAAACTGGACAGAGTAGCCTTCTTAAACATTGTATCCCTATTTCTTAGCTTCGAAACGGTGTATCTTGTACCTCCATCCGATAATCGTAGTGCCAATGGTGCCAAAACCTTAAACTGATGTCAAAAACTATTTTTTTGGGTTAGAACTTAATGCCATTTCCGGATTTTCCTGGTTTACTCTAGTGCTTATACATTCTAGTGGAACCTTATTTTGGTGGTATTTGGAATTGGTTTATGACTTGTAATCGAGTCTTATTGTGCTTATTTGAATATTTTAGGGCGTGACGTTGAGTAAAGACGCTCTTTGGGCTGAAGTTTACGAAATTCCACTTGCTTGCTTGGTGAGTGTACCACTCACTTGTTGTTTACAATGTGGCTTTGGTATATGTGAACTTGATGCCTAGAAGGCTTATTTGCTCCGTTGAAATTAATTGAGTGAGGGTGTACTTGATCGCCCTCACCCATTTGGTATCTCATATGACTGTCTACTGTTTTACTGTAATGATTGAATGATACATGAAATACTGAATTGGTTCATGAATTTGGTGTCGCTTGGACGAGTATCCAACGACCATTACTGATACGACTGAGCTCAACCCCATTGGTAGTCGATTGGATCGAGCTGGCGAGGGCTTGGTCGTGAAAATTGACGAGCCATGGGGACTGTTATATGGAATCTTGTAGTAGTGAGACTCTTGATTCCGGTATACTCGAGTATTACCAAATTTCTACTGTTTGGAGTTCGGGCCCAGTAGGGGTATGTTGGGTGGAAGGAATGGAAGTAAAGTGGAGCCTACGGTTGGTTACTCTTAAACATTGACGGAGGGTCAATGAGGTTCGATCAAGAATGCAAACGAGGAAAAGGGCTCTTGAGAGCCGCCCGTATCCTTTTATCACCACTATTGATGTGTGCCTTTGCTTACTTTTGATGAATTGGAATGAAAAGTTTTGTGCTTATGTGAACTTTGCTGCTTGAGTGGTATTATTTCACTGGGCGTAAGCTCACTCTATTCTCTTTTGTTTTCCTTACAGGAAAATAAATACTTTTGGACTGGATTTGATAGTTGGTTGCCGAATTGAGCTAGATGGACATATCTTTTGTATAGCTCCTTGATTGAAACCCTAAATGTACTTTTGGGTCCGTTTCTCTTTTGATTTGGCAAACCGTACATGTATCCACTTTTGAATAACGTTTTGTATGCCACTTTGGATTGTATATGCTTAATTTCAACATGTAAATATTTGCTTGATGTTTGGTTGGGTTTTGACGTGTCGGTTACTATTCATGGCCGACTCCGGTTTCATTTTTTTTTATTTTGACATTTTGACTTGTTTACGCGCGTTTGTATGTTCCGAAACGTATTAGATCGCTCTAAACTGAACCGTTAGTCCTGGCGAGAGCTGGGCAGGCAGTCCGCTAACCCCTTTGGTTCGCCTTAGGGGAAGGTGGGGCTGTCACATCGAGCCTCTCAATCTCATCCCCCACCCCAAGCCTCCATTCCTGTGAATACACCTACCAACCTACCCTCCTCTTCTAGTGTTCGAACTCGCTTAGGTAGGGGTAGGGGTGCCCATGTTAATGCTCCCGCTCACTTTGGGGGGCATTTGAATTTCACTAGATCTGTTGATCAG